GCTCATTTAATTTCCTTGCTCATTAACATTTTTATCTTTCTGCATTTGTTATATTTTCCTGTTGCATCATACTACGCATTAAATAAGTTTTGCTGAAGTTTTTAGTTTTAATATCTCTATTATCAAATAATGAAAATAGTATTGCAAGAGATTTGAGTGCAGGGAGGAATCAAGCAATAAAATTGTTCTTGAACAATAATCTGTTAATATATATTATTATGGATTTCTGTTGTATAACTAATTTAATATACACATTTTAACTTGGTATATGGTCAAGATTTTACAGGCCTTTTTTGTGAAATTATCTTACGTATGATTTAATGGTTTTGGAAATGATTATACTACAGTTCCAACATCATCATCAAATAAAATCAAAAGCCTTTTAAATTAAATCGCTAAGTTAGAAAGTGTTTAATTATTAGCATAAAGACTTTGAGCTTTTTAATTTACCTTTACTGAAGCTATATCTTGAACCTCACATCTGTACCAATTTTAGTTCTATGTAAGTCTCTATCAAACTGTTCTCAATTCTACGTATGGTCTTTTTACAGTTGCAATTTTTCAATGGATTTTTATTTTTTATTTCTTGGCAAAAATAAAAACATTAACATTGTCAATTATTTTAGTTCAAAGTTTTTACATTTACGCACCCGCAGTATCCAAAAGCATAAAAAATATATTAAATCTGAATTTATCTACAGGTTTGTGGTCATTTGTCATCATGCTTACATTGAAAAGGTACTGCCCTGTGAGGAATTTCAATTGCAGACTTAAATTCTGATTCTTCATCTATTATCTGCATTATCATTATTTTTTCTCTCAGTTTCAAGCGCATTCAATAGTATATGTATGTTCTCTGTTCCAATAAAATACTTCTACCTTTCAATAAATTATAAAATAAGTTTACTATTCATATTTTATCTTAGAAGTGTTTGCCGGTGACATTTTGTTTTTGGTAAGAATATGGTGTTAAATTAACAGGCAAAATATACACTTAAAATATCCCGTTTTAAAGCAAAAACGTTTTTCTTCATGCTATATTTTTAATTAAAATTGTTATAATTCATAATTTCACTAGAGAAGGGAAGAACATCGAATTATTCTTCGGAATATTCTCCATCAAGATTGGCAAGGGACTTCCCCGTTCTCAATGTAAAATCCGCTGCCGCGTGCTGCACACTGAGTAACGCTCTCGGTGAACTAAAAACTGATAATTATTCATGGCTTTATCCCCGGATGATGTTTTGTGAGCATTAAGAACTACATTCCTGTCCATAAATTAAGGATAATTCAGAACCATATATAAATCTAACGGAAATGTAAAGTAAAAATTTCACCTGCAAACTTATCGCTGGCATTATCCTTAATTTAATGGACATGAGTGTATTTGGCCAATTTATATGAAACTAAAACAGAAACGGTAGATCGGTAGTCTGAAATTTCTTTGATCAAAAACCACAGAATGAAAATAAATAAATATAAAATGCTTGCACTTCACATATGCTTGAAAAAACACTAGGTCGAAGATGATGGAAAGTTTAGCAGAGAAAAGATAATTTGAAGTACTACAGGTTAAGATTTAAATTCAAATATTGGTTTGACTAACTTGTACGACCAAGTAATAGTCATAGGAGTGATAAAATCTAAAGTAAATTAAGTTCTAAATTTCTGAAGTTCATTTAGCGTATTACGAATATCGACAGTATATAATGAGGTTTGTTAATCACATGAAATTTTAGCAACTGTGTCTAGATAAATGGTGATCATATGTATATAATAACGATACATATAGTTATTGCGCGTTCGAATACCCGCTGACATTTGATCCCTTTGCAGCAAAATCATATGAAATCATGACAAAACTCCCTAGAATGGCTCTTGAATACTTGTACCAAGCATAATATACAGCAAATTATTCATATTACTTGGGTACCAAAATTCATCGCGAAGATATGTGGAATAAAATTAATAAATTAATGAAAGTTAATGTTAAATGTTAGCAACAGTTCGACCAAATAATGCAGTGCGTAATCAGTGCCTGTAGATATGTTACCATAGTGAGAAACCGGAACAGTTTGTAGAGTTCCTCACTTTGGAATTCTAAGTTAATGTTGGAACTTCGAATAATTCAAAGTTCAGATTTTGAGCGTGAAGGTGCAGTTGCCCCTCGCTCCCTATTTTTAACTTCGCTATTTTTTCTTATCCTTTGTGTTACATGTTTGATCAGATAGCCTGTCTCAGTAAAAGTAGGCGGCCAGTGTAACTCTAATTAAAAATCCGGTTATAACCACTTGCAGTGCTGATATGGACCACGTGTTCTGAGACTCCTTCCCCCCTTTATTTTTCTTCTTTCTAGCTGCCCTCGAAATCGATTGAGTGTTTCAATATACTTACGCTAAATACAAGGTTGTTTTTACGATTTAAATATATATGACTCCATATTTTAGTAAATAGATTCAAACTTCTAACATTGATGATTCATTAGAGCTACAAATTTCACAGGATGAAAAATATATAGTCAAATTACAAAATTTTGTTTGAGGTACTTCATACACTCAGACCACTTTGAATGTGAAAACATTGCATAACCACACCCTTTATATAACAAAGACCATAACGCACCGTGTACTCACTAATTTGAATTACCCGCGAGAGAAAGCGAGGAAAACGAAAATAGGTGGGAGGGAATGATCAGTTAGGCAATCACGTGATACACCGTGATTGATGCCTTGGAGCGTCGTGCTGAAATGCGGGCGATTTCATTTAGAAAATAGCTGCCCCGGTGTATGAGGTACAGTGAGACTTAATTAAAAAATCGTTCTCTTAGGAACCTGCGCTTCGGGCGGATTCTCTTTTATTCTCTTTCTCCATTTTGTTTGTTTGTTTTTCTTTTCTCTTCCTTCTCATTTTCGTTTTTGTTCGGGCCAGCACGGGGGTTTCAATTAAGGCGGTTGGGAAAATACTCGGAAAGGATTTTCAGCTTTGCTTTTGCATCTAATCTTCGGCTACGAATGAAAGTTTTTGGAGGATAAAAGTTTTTTGAAAGAAAAGCGTATTTTGATGTGGAAGTTAAAAACCCGGAGCGAGTGCGTTGAATTTCGACTCGGGAGATTAAGATCGATGCATCGATTTTTCACTTTCGTGCGTTGAATTTCGACGACGCTTTCCACTGTCCATGGGGACACACAGTACAGCCTACAAGTTAAAGACATGGCTGGAAAAGGATAAGAACACACGATGGGAAAAAGTAACAATCAAGTTTAAATTAAAACGAAATAACTGAATCCAAAAAATACAGATTGTGAGGTGCACCTAATATATGTTCTATAATTGGCCATATTTACTAGAATATTTCAAGAATTACACGTTTCCATACATGTCTTCAGTGAATATCTGTCAAGCCTACTGCAATAATATGTACTCCCCGTCAGATAACATATTCTTTTTTTATTTTCCAATGGCGGGCACTTGCCTATAACACACTGGCCACTCCTAAGGCCAGAAGTGGTGGCTATTTTATTGTGGAGGTGCCTAATAGGCGACCACCATTACCTCCTACAAAGGGGCAGACAATTTTACACCCATGCCTTCTCCGGGATTCAAACCCGGGCCCTTCGGTATTGCAGTCAGGCTCTCGTAATCACTCTACCGTCTGGGTGGCATAACATGTTCTAAATTACTCTTATTCTTTGGCAGCAGCCTAGTTACAATTCATCAGAAAATCGCTGATACAATTGATACACATATTCGCCATTCAATGTTCTCAGAAATGTTATTTTTATGGCATTTTTTCTGTGTCAAGTATATTCCTATTTATTCTCATATATTCCATATAGTGATGTCATAGTTTGACAAACGACACAGTTGTAATTACAAAGGTGTGTCAAAAATTAACGCAGAATCCATTGTAAATAGTAAGCACTAGATAAAATGAAATTTTATAGAAAGAAGCATCGGTCTTTTACTACCTCAAGTATACTTAATTTTTTTTATTTTTTTTCTACTGCAAATAAGCGACGATGAATGATTAATGTGAGACCCTTCTACGTTAACATACATTTACAGAATTCGATTAACAGTAAGCTGTTGTCAGAGCACGAATTCAATGAAATAAGTCAAAATAATGTACATCGATGGCATCAAAAGTTTCGGGGTGCTGACTGCAACATCTAGGACCAGTTACGGTTAGACAGACCGTCAGTCATCACACTCGAAGAAACCGCATCAGTCATTGTGGAACTCATCATAAATGACAGATACACCACCACAAGATAGATCATGGAGCATACAAATATGGCAAAAGGAACCGTAGTGACGTTAATCCAACGACACGGATACCCAAAAATTTGGGCTCGCTGGATTCTACGGGTTTTATTTGAGTAGAAGTTTAAACTAGTGTCCTTCACACCTTACTACACTGACAAACGAATTATCGATTCGTCTAATAGTAGAATGTATAAGTCGTAAATAACCTTTTCATTAAACTCTTGAAATTAAACAGAAGAACCCCCTGTGTTAGCAAATAACCTATGCTACGTGTGGGTATTTAAAATAACATAAGTTGAAATTCGGATTGAAAGTAACGTAGTCGGAGACTACACAAAATGGTCTGCTTAAGCTGGCTCAGATATTTTAATGTAGGCTAACGAAAGTAGCTAAAACCGGAATATTCGCTGGGAGAAGAAGAAATTTGCAGGCGACGCTGCCAAAAAGCTCCAACTCTAAAGCATACATAGCTCTCGACTTGAATACTCAACCAACTAATTCGCATTCCTTATTTATTTATTACTTCCATCTACTTATTTATTGTTTCCAATTACATATTTTAAACAATAAACTGTAGATTTTTTTATATTCTCTTTATTGAATTTTTGACATTTTATATTACTTAAGTTTATTTTCCCGAAGACAGTGTTAAATGTTTATAATTAGAATCTTAGGTAATTATGTAGTAGTAATTAAGTATCAGGTAAGAGTAAATAAGATAACAGCTAACTTACCTTGCCCCAACCAGCAAGGATTCCCCATCTTGTTCTAAAAGCTTGAAGTAATCAGTGTGGGATTCGTTCCCAAGGAATCGCTGCAAATCGGATTCATCTGGAAGGAAAGCAAAATATTAAAAACGGGAATAACAAGCAGTTTAAAACAATAACATTAAATTATATCGTCATATAAATAAGAAATACGATTGATATTACTAAACTAAAAACTGTTTTCCCTGAATTTAGCAATAATCAGTTTACTAGATTGCTAATAGCATTTAAACTTGTTTAAAATACGTGAGTACAAAACTTAGTAAATTTTTATTGGACAGATGCCACTGATATGTAACTATTTAAGCTTTCAAATTTATCTGTTCTCCAAAAAAAATTCATCATCAATTTAATATTTTTGTAATATAAATATATTACAAAAATATTTTATGTGACATCCCGTGTTCTTAGCAAGCATAAACTAACTAGACGTTAATCGACTGTGTAAAGACGACAAGTCTTAAGTACGGCATAGTCGAGAGAAAGGGTGAAAAGGGCCTTTTATTGACTCACTACATTCACAGATGGCACCGATTCGTGTTTATAAAGCCAACACTTTTGGCTTACCTCAAAAGGTAGCAAGAAACTTAATAGTGTTAAGTTAGCCTAACGGCCTTACGCAGGTTAATTAATGCGCAGACAGGCTCTGACTCCTAAATGTCGGCCTAAACAAGCCTAATTGGCCGGAATTATAATTCATGATTTTCCCATTAACATGATCCTTTAAGAAAATTTTAGAATGTATTGTGTTGCTGAAATGTTTCATGATATATCTTAAGATATATCATGAAATCTTAAGATATATCCTAGTTTCATGATGTATCCTAGTTTATAAAATTTAATTTCTAAATTCTTCATGCTTCAATGAAGTTAAATGCCGTCGAATTTTTATAGCATTCCTAAGACATAAATTGAGAAGGCAGAGTCTTAATAACTTGTCAGGATGTTCTGTAATTGGAAAGGCAGGCAGAACACGCTCGCTTTTTCTCTCTCTTCAAAACCTTCCCTTAACTACTGATTTCTTTCTGCCTCTTTTGAATACACGCGCGCTAACATTACATTCTGACAAGAAAGCATGGGTTGAAAGCGAGAGTAATAGGAAAGGTTGCTTCAAAATAAAATTAACTGTTAAATAGCTTAAATAAATTCCACAAGGAGAAGGAAATAATAATCAGGCAGACCGATCTCAAGTTTGTGTTTGTTCAAGTTCGAAACTCAGTTTGCGTTTGTTAAAGTCAGGTTTTCAGTTAAATGTTTGTTCGCACGGGTTTATTATCTCCAGTTCATAATTATTAATTCTATTTTCACATAGAATTTTTTAAAATTTCTACTATTTAGTTTATTTTGTTCAGCTGTGAATAAAATGAGCTTACAATGTCCTCGTAAAAATTTAAACACAAACTGAATGCAAAAGATGTAGTTATACAGTTTTTATATTAAGCTTAGAAATAAAACGTAGTATTCCTCTTTCAACATAAGTACTAAAAACTGCATTTCTTAAAAGGAAAAAAAATAATAAAGAGCTTCAGATTTAGTTTTCATAGTTTAAAGTTTTATTTTAGGCTTCAAAAATCTGTACTAGTCATAATAAATATACTTTTGTGACAGGATTAATTAAAATTTTTTTAAAGGAGCATACATGATAAAAGCCATTAAACGATGAGGTAAAAATCTTTCCAAAATGTTTCTAGTAAATTTTAAAGGATTTACTGAATTTTAATATTTGAAAGCTAATGACAATCTTATTCTAACCTAAACGTCGTCAAGGTTAGATTACATCAATAAAAAGTTGATTATTCAAGTTAAGTTCGATGTCAAGGTCGATTCTCCAAATCCCATTTTCAAGAAAGGTGTACCAGAAGCCGTAATAAAAACAGAGTGACTGCGTGGACCACGAAGTACTGATTCACGTCCCACATGGATCCTAAGTTTTACAATATTTAGACTAAAGAAGAATCTTTATTAGACGAAAAGCCTTCTAGACTCTTACTGTATTTAGATGGAATTCGTTCTGTCCCCAAGTATCAGATTATGAAAAGTGCGCATATTGAAGCCAGGTCCAAGTAATAAACTGATTACGGATCAAAGAAAGAAATCATGTGATTGAAAATAGTTCCATGTGTGGTGAAGTCATGTTTTTTCTGGTTCGCCATACCGCTACCTTTTTATATTAAAAAAAACATTTCTAAGAATTCGCTTTCGTTGCATTCAACCTACAATAAAATATTCCAACTTTTGGGGAGTTCATGTGGTTTCAGCTATACCGTAATCTTGTTTTCCGTAAGACTGGCAACCAAAATATTCACTTTGCTCGAATAATGTATTAAATTCCCATCTCTAGTCTATTTTTAGACAAAAATTATCCGAAGTCGGCAAGTTAAGATAGGACAGCCTAAAGTATCGGAAAGTTTTAATTTCAAATCCCATATCGAGGGTTGCGCACACTCAACTGTATATATCTTTTGTTGTACAGATACAAGAAGAATATGGGAGCGAAGCTATGAAAAAAATCCCCGGGTACTTGACGATGTTGAATTCAGGATCTTCAAGTCCCGAATTGATTTAGTGACCGCTGCATCCCAACAATACACGAGCTTAACGCTGGGAAGATTGGCTTTTATTACCTTACGACTTAAAACTTTAATTCCTTATAATTCAAACAGTTTGTTTTTTGATGATTCATAAAAATGAAATTATCTTCCACGACACGACCTGCCTCACTATAAAACTAAAATAAAATTCGCAAATATAGCCCATCAAATGCTTTACATGATACTTAGTAAAAAAATGAAAATATCCCATGAATATATCAACAAAGAATTGAATATCAAACATTCGGTAACAGAAGAAAAAATATAAACCCAGCATAAGCCGTCAATGAGTCGATAAGAAAATTGCAAGTTGTCAGAGATTAATAAGAAATATCCATAGCAAACCGTCAAAGGAAATGCGTTTATTTAATTTTCCTAACCACACCTACTTTTTAATACCGTTATTATCAAAACATTACACAACAAAAGAAATGGAAATATTCTCCTATCAATTTTTCATGCGCTACATCATATCCCAGTTACCATTAAATAAAAATAAAAAAAGAATAAAACGCAAACTGTACGTCGCTAACAGGAATGGAATATTCAGCAGACCATTACAAATGATAAAATGTATATCTAAAATGTATATCAATAAGAATAATACAATGGAATGAAAGGTAAGATAAATATGACGTAGGAAAAAAATATTTTAAAAAATGGCGGGTAACATCGATATCTTCTCCGAGAACTGTCATTCTCTCTTCTCTTAGCTGTCATAACACTCTGACCACAACAGCGCTTTTTTTTTAAAGAACTCTTCTTTACTTTTTTTTATACCTACCAGTACGTGACCTCCTTGATGACGGGTCCTAGGGAGGGTGACAAAACGAGAAATGAGCGAATGAATCAAAACTTTTTCTTCTTCTATGAAGATGGGAAGAGAGGTAGGTCGAGAACAGAGAGTCTCATCAAACAAAGTAGCTGAACCGCCATATTCTTTTGCTACTTGATGGCCAAGGTGCCTTTTAGCAGCGATGCGCTTTCATGCGCGGTACTGTCAGCGCCGCTCCTTGCTGCAGGTGCGCAAGCATTTGAGAACTTTTGGATTTTTGTTTGTCATTCTCTCTTTTTTTTTTTTTTTTTTTTGGCTCATTTTTGTTTTCTTATTTATTTGTTTGTTTTTCTTTTTTTTCTTTTTTTTCCCCCTTTTTGAGAGATTCTGCCATGACCCTGACGAAGATGACGGGAAAGAACTCTTATTGCGATCTCGAGTTGTACGATATATTATTGGCAGCTGGTGGCAGAATTTTATTTAAGCAGATAGAAGTTGGTATAGGTGGAATGCTTTTACCAACATTACCACAACTACAAGTATTCACTGTCAGGGAGGGGGATATATATGTATAACTTCAAATACAGTGTTTAATTAAAAAGTATCTGGCTTATGAATATAATGAGCTTTTTCTCTATCATCTGTTCTATATTTTTATCCTTTTCCTGTGAAGAAATGTTGCAGTACAATTAAATAATATACGGTTTTGAAACACTTCTTACTTTTCCTTTTCCATTTTTAACTATGGATATTTAATATTTTTTTGAGTCATAACTAGTAGTATAAACTTCAAGATAATTTCTTGCAAATAATTCTTAAAAAAGTGACACTTTCCTAAACAGCCAGATTTAATACAATTATAAGCAGTGTAAAAACTGGAAATTAGAACGCCTTAATGTAGCGTAAATTTGCAAGGAATTTTTTTAGCTCATCGACAGAAATTTCTTAGAGGTTTTAACTGTTTTCAGCTTACAGATCTCACAACTTGGCAAAATATAAAGTACCTCAGCTTGAGAGAATTTTGCAAGCCTCATACATAAGCGATCCAATGAAATAAATACGCAGATATGTCTTTAATAATTAAATCTTTTCTTTATTCAATAAATCTCCGCGTGGCGATAATGTATAATGAAATAGTATCATTGCAAGGTTTTATTTTTTCTCTTCTTAGCACTGCATTCTTTTTTTTTTTCCCAAGTTCTATTCAAATACAGGATTTGTATCCTATATCTTGAATTATTGATGGACTAATCCTGAAATTGGTAGGCTAATCGTAACTGCTTACCTTATAACTATTTTAAGCAGTAAACTAAACCCCGCATATGAAGATCAAACTGCAATTTTTTAAAATATTGTAATTTTTATATATATTATCCTAATCTTTTTCAATTTACGTAATAATTTTGTGTAGACAATAAGACATTTCAGACCAAGAAACAAGAAAACTCTTTTGTTCCCTTGCGGAGATTTGAAACACAGATCTTCCATTTACTATACGAATACTTTAAAACAGGCACTCCAAAGTCATAGCGATCCTTTCTTCATTTACAAACGTCATATATGTCATCATTACCACACAAAGGGAATTAGACGATTTGAACAAACTACTTAATAAAAAATGCCATGATTATGAGCCATGGTTTTGGAAGGAAAGGAAGAAATGGCCATGAAGTGCCTAACTTAAAGTAAGTCTATAGT